TTGGTATAAATGGGTATTCTGGTATATACCCCATCTTGTGTGGCTGGCAGGAGAAACTCCCTGATGCCCCTGGAGCCTGATCATCTGAAGCCTGGCAGGACCAAGGACCAGTGCCTGCTTGGGCTCTAAGGCAACATTTCCATGCTGTCTTTCTAAAAGCTAGAAGGAAAACGTCAGGAAAATCCCTGAGAACTGACCCCCCTACCCCCACGCACATCCCACCCAATCACACAGCATACCCGGGAGTATTGCAGCTTGTCCACAATGTCGTCACTTGTGAGGGGGATTAGTCCTGGAAGAAACAGAAAGACATTTTAAAGCAGTCCAAATGGTCAAGTCAAAAGGAGAACCTAGAAGCCCCCTTGGGAGTGAGGAGGCTCCCTCCTCTGACACCAGGCACAGCCCCCTCCCTTCCACCTTTCACAACCCGGCACTCACCGAGCCTGTGAGCGATGAACTCATCATGAAGGACTGAAGAATTGGCATCAATTTGAACCCAGTCAATGGCTAAAAAAAAACACAAAAAAACCCCAAAAAAACCAAGAAAGCAGACATGCAGCTCGGCCACCAAATTAAAGACCTCGAGCAGTGGTTCTCAAGATTTAGGAAGCACCCAATGCTTACTAAATTGCAGGGGCCTGGGCCAGACTGCCAGAAACTGATTCCACAGCTCCAGTGGGGGCTAGGAATCTGTATTTTAACAAGAACCACATGCAACACAGCCTCCATCCGTACTCAGGCAGATTTAATGCAGGGGGTTCCCTGTCCCACACAAAAAATACTGACTTAGGGAACAGCATGGCAGTGAGAACATGTTTCTTTAAGCTGAATATTTCTGTGAGAAGCATTTACATCTGCTATCCGTGTCAACACCAAATCCATAAACACAAACTACTTGGGCACTTAAAAGTTAGGGAAAATTGGGGCACCTGGGTGGCTCAGTCGGTTGAGCGTGTCCGACTCGGCTCAGGTTATGATCTCACGGTTCGTGAGCTTAAGCCCCGTGTTGGGTGCTGTGTTGACAGCTCACAGCCTGGAACCTGCTTCAGATTCTGGGCCTCCCTCTCTCTCTCTACCCCTCCCCGGCTTGCATTCTCACTCTCTCTCTTAAAAAAAAAAAAAAAAAAAAAAAAAAAGGCCAATCTCACAGAAGTAACACAGGCTTATGGTCCATACCTCATTTTATGATACAATGACCAAATTACTCAATGTAACTCTTTATCATCAATCAACTAACACGTAAAGAATTCCTTTAATGTGCACAGCATACTAAGTATCAAACCCAATTCCTACCAGCAATGAGCTAGTAGAAAGGTAAGGACTGTATTCCCACACACACTTGATTTAAACACATTCGTTAACACCTGTATGCAAACAAATTCATAAATCAAATGGCATTGGAGCCCAACTACCAAAAAGGGTGTGGACACTAAGAATGGAAGTCAGAAGAGGACCAGTTAGGACCCAACCCGCTTTGTCCTATACTTTCTATTATTTCCCCAAGCCAAGTAAGGACCATAAGCCAAGCTTTTCTGACTCCGCCTCCTTACTCCCAATAACCCCCTACTCCCACGTGCCCGTACCCTCTCCTGCGCAGGTGTAAATCCTCTGAGCCTCCTACAAACCAAGCCTCACCTGCCCTCTGTGATACAGATACCAACACTTCCTCCCTGCAAGCTTTCCCCTCATAAAACTCTGTCCAGACTAAAGATACTTGTCCCATTTTACACTGTGTTATATTTGTGTATGTCTTGTCTCTACCTCAAGCTTCGGAGAATCCTGGAGCTGGGGTCTTCAGATGTCTTAACTTTTGTATTCCCCCTGTGGCCTGGAATGTAGCAGGTGATCAGAATCATCCGCAGAACTGAATGTGTGGGGCAAGTGGCATTCAGCCTCTAATGCCAGGGCCGCCTCACAAAGTACAACTCCCTCATTTTACTCATGATGAAACTGAGGCCCAGAGACATGGAGTGGTCAGGGAGGAGGAGGAGGAGGAGGGTCAGCACTCCAAGCTCTGAGTTGAAGAAGTGCCTGGGGATTGCAGTGGTGGAAACTCCATGCTCTCCTTCACCGATCCCTTGGCCTGCTTATTTCCTTAGGAGTCTGCACACTTGTTGTAGCAGCCGAGTTACATTCCTTTCTCCAACCCAAACTTTGAGTTGACACTCCGAAAATACCTGTAGTATATTTATAAGGGTGAAAAATACCTGGAGCGACGTGGCTGGAACCAGAGCCGATCCTCCTCCCTCTAAGCGCCAACAGCACTGTAGCTCTACTTCTCAACTACTGACCCAAGGCTACCCCGCAGCAGCGTCAGCTGCGGATTCGCCTTTCCCGGGCAACCCCACTGTGTGCTCCACCAGGGCAAGAACCCTGCACCGTGCAGCCTTGCAGTCCCAGTTCCTAGCACCCTGCCTGACACTTACGTGTTCCCTAAGTACGGCTGAAGGACCGGATTCATAAAAAGACATCTACCGCTACTCAACACGAGGCATTTAAGAGAGATTCCGTTACTCAATCCCTGCCATCGCTCTGCAAGCACTGTTAACGTCCGAATGCCACAGAGAAAAACACGGCACGCAGCTGAACACTTGCCCAAGTTGCACAGGGGCAGTAAGTGAAAACGGTGTTCAAACCCGAACACGCAGACTCCCGAACCCATGCTCTTCGCCAACCCGTAGGTTAAGAGTGGACCCAAGTGGCCCTGGGCCGAGGGTACAGGGTCTGATCAAATCTCCAGCACTGCTGTCCTTTCAGAGCCCCCACTACCGGCCCCACCAGGCCCTGGGTGTGGGCGGGCAGCGGCCCCGAGGTGTGTGGGGGCGTGTGTGGGCAACGAGAGGTGGGGTTCGCTTACCTATTATGGGCACCTCGGCGATGAAGACCCTCCGAATGGAGTTGGCCACCCTGAGGGATGAAAACCAATCGGCGTGAGGGCGCCGCAGCATCGACGCCGGCGCCTCGCGCCCACGGTTCCCAAAGCAAAAACCCCGCCACCCGAACGCAGCTCTAGGACACGACCCCCACCCGGCCCGCGCTCGAGCCCCCCGCGCTCCGCAGTCGCCGGCCTCTTCCCTCAGCGGCCTTACGCCAGGTCTGTGTTCTCGATGATGAACTTGACATTCTCGTCGGTGAGCTCCGTGATCCGGACGGTGGGCTGGTTGGCATACGGCATCGTGCCCAACCACCCGCCGGACCCTAGGACTTAGCACCGGTGCGCCGCCGCCGCCGCCGCCGCCGGAAGTGGGTCAGCGCGGCCCGCGCCGCTTCGGCACAGACGCGCTCACAGCGCCGCCTGCTGCTCGGAGGCCGCCGCCGCTCGGAGCCTGGCGTTTCACACCCCCACCTGCTTTAAGGGCACCAGGTGCAACCACCTTGAGGGGCGGATTTGACAAAACGTGCTCACGCCCTCGATTCCACAACAACACTTCCAGGAATTCATACTGCCTGCAGTTGTCAGCAAAGATACACGTACAGGGGCGTTCACTACAGCACTGCTTGTAATGGCAGAAGATAACAAAACTAATTGTCCATTGACGGTTAAATACACGAACATAGGAGTACTATGATGTCTTTAAGAGAATGAAGTAAATCTGCCCATTTACGGAAAAACAGAAGCATACTTTAGCAAAGTATAGTAGAATGGTAAATATATACCTGTACCCTTTCCCTCCACCCCCAAGTCTGGATCGTGCTCTTTGGAAAATGCAGTAAGATACAACACCCATTCAATGCATCATCTGCAGCCTGTGTAGTCGTGGCGGGTGGGTAGGGGCCCTTCATCTCTGCACCCGCATCTCTGCATGCCTGGCAGCGTGCCCCTCACAGGGTGGATGCTCAATAAAGATTACCAAAGTCCTCTCAACAGCCTGGAGAAAGGTTTGAATGGGCCTCAAAAGGTGACAGCTGCTCATACAGAGAAGAGGCTCTAAAGTAGAACTTAGCAAGAGCTACATTTAGGGGGCAGAATTAGAGAGGAGATAAAGAGTTTGATTTAGCTAGACACGACACCTCTTCCTGAGGCAGAGGGAAAGGGCATGGAGGGGGCCTTTGCTTCATAGCCTGTGTCATCTCAGTAAATTAAGAATTATGGTTGTCTGCGGAGTGCGAGAGGGATGTTACGAAGGATAAAAGAGAGCATGGGATGAAATTTGCAAGAGCTACCGTAGGGGACCTGCCAGGGTGTCACAATACAAAGAATTAAAGAGGTGCGGAAGGGGGCCAGTGAAAGGCCAAAGGACTGGAAACACTGATCAGCTTGTGATTTCCCCCATCAATACCCAGTGGACCTAGAAAAGACATGGCAAAGCAGGAGACAGACGCCCCGGGCCGAACCGTGTCCCTCTAAAATGCTGAAGCCTAACGCCCGACACAATGGCATTTGGAGTTGGGAGTCTTTGGAAGGTTATGAGAGGTCCTGAGGGTAGGAAAAGGGCCCTTATAAGAACAGGACGAGACACTAGAGCTCTCTCTGTCCTGTTGGAACATGGGGAGAAGGTGGCAAGTCAGAAAGACCACTAGGAACTGAATTGGCTGGCACCTTGATCTTGGATTTCCTAGCCTCCAGAACGTGAGAAACAAGTATCTGTTGTTAAGTCCCAGTCTGTGGTATTTTGTTACTGTAACCTGAGAAGACCAAAACAACCGTTAACCAGACTTGCAAAGGGAGCTCAGCCAGTGTATAAACAGAAAATTATTAATGCTAAAGAACGGATCACTGAAATAATTAGTGACAGAAAATAGCAGCCCAGGGAGTAATGGTCAGGGGCAAGGCCACTGTCACCCACACTTACTGAAGTGAAGCACGGGCCCAGAGAGGCAGAGCTGCCGTAATTACCCATTAGCACTAGGCCACACCAGGACCAGAACCCAGGTCTCCTGGACGCCAGCCTCAAGCCTTTTCCACAACACTTCTGTCTCCCTCTGAGGTCTCGGATACCCACTGTGGCCTGGATGGAAACCAACTGCACAACAAGAAACTGCTTCAAACATATTTATTACTATTTGTACAGACTCTTAACCCTACAACACATGCTGGTGTAATGCGACAACGGCCTGGGTTCACGCCTCCGGCCAGGCTGGGCACCACTGTCCAGCAGGCACCAGTCTCAAGTGAGGAAGCTTTCTGAGGGGTTCCCAGGTGCAGCATCTCAGGACACCAGAAAGGGGAGGGGTGCAAGGAACGCCTGTGTGCACAAGTCTGTGCTGTGCTGGGGATGGGCTGCCACTTTATAAAGGTTTCACAGCCTGACTCTGATTTGGGAGCCCCAGAGATTACTCTAGGAAGGTTAAGACATGATCAAGTATCTGTGAGACCATAGATAGGGACATGCCGGGTTTCTGTGGCTTGAACGCTTGGATGAGAGCCTCATTTTTTGTCACACAGTGGTAATGCAGAAAGGCATCAGGAGGCCTGGCCTGGTATTTAGAACTGAAGAAGTAGCCTGATCGCAGGCTACAGCTGTATCAAGTGCTCTGTGGTTTCCAGGTGGCTGTCGTAGTGACTCAGGAGTCCTTCAGTGTTTTCTCATTAACACCCTGTTCCATGGGCAGCACTTCATATCTTTCAAAGCCCTTTCAATGTATCTGCAGATTTTCTTCTGGGCACTCTAGCTCACACCCCATTCCGCTCACCGGCGCTGGTTTAGACCGGTCAGGTTCTTGAGCTGATACAGGGAAGGAAACAGAATGATGAGGCCTTGCCCTGCCATTAGGACTCCAGTGGGAGAGACTGGGGTTTTCAAGGCGGCAGGAATGGCTAAGATCCACAGATCTGACATGCTAGGGGCCTGGGAATCAGCAATGTTTTTTAATAGCAGAAAAAAAAAAAAAAAGATGGGGTACTGAGGATCAGAGACTGGGGCTGAATCACTGTCCGTCTTATTAGGAGTTTTCTAGTTTAAAAGATTCAGGAACATTGACACATGTTTTAAGGGTCACAGGGCAGGACGGGGACGGGAGGAGGGCAGGGATGAGTGAGACAGTACTTACTGTCACTGCTGCACCCATGAGTCCTTGAACCAGTGCCTCTCCAGTGGACTTTACCTAGAAGGAGTCAGGGTCAGGCTCTCTTAAGCCCCCAGTCCAAGCTCAAAGGTGAAACAGGTAAGACAAAAGCGGGGGCCGGGGGTGGGGGCGGGGGGACTCATGAGGACCCTGTGGACTGGAGGAAGAGCCTATGATCACAACCACAAATGGCCCAAGTATGGCTCTTAGGGAAATGGCTGGCACACTCCCTGGGCAAGCCTTCAGGAGGAGGGGGGTGTGCCTAGTGAGGAGGCTTCCCAAATGGCTAGCCCCAACTACCTGCTTGGCAGTGTGGCCCATATTCATTGCGTCATTAATCCGGTTTTCCAGGAAGCGCCAAGTGTCCTCGAAGTCTGGGGACGAGTCCTGCATCATCACCAGCTCTGTCGTGTTGTAGATGCCAGCCAGCACAGCTCGGCGGGTATACCAGTTAAACTGCAAAGAAACCCACCCAGGAAGGTGGGTCACTGCTACTGCCGTGGGCTGGGGAAATCTGGGGGTTCCTACCCAAAGCCACAGGCACTAAGGGGTCCCTCCTGATCTCTTTTCCCCACAGATGCATTTGTTTCCCTGCAAGACATTGGTGTTCTCAAATTTAGCTAGGCAACAAAATTACTGGGAGATTAAAATGCAAGCTCCTGGGCCCAACTTCTCAGAGTTTAGAGTCAAGGGGTCTGAAGTAAGTGCAAGGAATCTGGACGTCTGATTAGCATCCCAGGCGATTTTGCTACAGGCATCCATTTTGAAGCCTGTGAAAAGACTGCGTCTTAGGCCGCCTAAATTCTGGGGAGGTTCTCTGGTCAGCCAGTTATGACAAAACCGTGGTATGCTCACCAGTAAAGTGAGGGCTGAGACAGGCCCACGGACAGATTCAGAACACCCAGGAGGAGCGAGGGGCTCCAGTCCCTCAGCCACTTCCGGCTGGCCCAGCAAATGGCTCTCTGGAGCACTAACTCAGCTGCTTTGTGTTTTATTCCTTTAATTTCTTTGCTAATTTCATTTTCCCACCAGCTCTGTTGGTGGTGTCCTCCGACATGGGGGAAGCTTATTAAGTCCTTTGTTAGAACTGTGGCAGGAGTAGCTCTTCGCCTCCCCAGCCTGGACTCCACAGAGCACCATTACATATTAACTTCTTTTATGAAGGTATACTTTTTATTTTTTAATTTCCTACCAGAAATATGACAGCATTAACAAGTCAGAAGCTATCCTGGTGCCTGTTTAAAGGCTAATTGATCTCTTGGCAAAGCAGGCCAGGAGGGGCTTGGGGGAGGGAGTTCCTTTTTAAGGCAACAGCGGCTCCATGGCGTTCTGTTCACTTTTTTAAAATCAGTCTCATGAGGGGCGCCTGGGTGGCTCGGGTGGCTCAGTCGGCTCAGTCGGTTGAGCATCCGACTTCAGCTCAGGTCATGATCTCACAGTCTGTGAGTTCGAGCCCTGCATCAGGCTCTGTGCTGACTGCTCAGAGCCTGGAGCCTGCCTCGGATTCTGTGTCTCCCTCTCTCTCTGCCCATCCCCTGCTCATGCTCTGTCTCTCAAAAATAAACATTAAAAAGTTTTAAAAAATAAATAGAATCAGTCTCATGAAAGACACACACTGAGAAATCACATCGCAGAATGTGAGTCTTAGGAGATTGAGGGGGAATGATTATAAAACGGCAGCCTTGTCACCAGGCCCTCTGATGCTTGTGTCACCAGGAGGGGACAGAGGGAATAATCACTGGTTTGTGGCTCGAGCGTGCATCCTTGAATGAGGACGTAGGTCCCACTATGGCTTGTTGGGAGCTTCCTCGTCCCTAGTCTCTCCTTTCCAAGACAGGAGTGGCACTGCAGGCCCACTGAAAGGCTCTGTGATCAAAGACCTTTCACAAACTTCCCGAAGAAATGCTTAACCCAAGCCTCTCCTGGTGTCCTGTGGGTTTGCAGAAAGCACTCACATCAGTGGACTGGTCCCCAGCGTAATGCCACATGTCATCCACCATACTGGTGATCAGGCTTAGGCTGGATGGGATGTTGTGCGGGAGCATGAGGATGCTGAGGGCCTGAGGAAAGAATGACAGAAACAGGCACTGCACACAGGGAACACAGAGCACAGGTGGATGGTGCGGCGCCTCGCCTCTCCACGGAGGTATGTGAGAGGGCCTGCCCACTCCCCTGCTGAGACCCACCATCTCCGCCCGGTTGGCGTGAGCTCCTGGCAGCTGACAACCCTGGCTACAGCTGATGGGAGCCAGGGGCGGCCCCTGCCCTCAGCTGGCCCACTCAGGTGCTCCATCCCCGGCACGTGGACTTGGGAATGCAGGCAGCCGGAGGGTCTAGAGTGGTCTAAGAGTACTGAGAGCAAGGATGGTGGAGGACACCCCATTCTGTAACACGGAGATAGAAGCAGAGCTAGGAGGAGGGTCTGGGGGTAGTTTCTAGGTCCAAATCCCTGGGCCCAGCAGCATTCCTGCCCTTGATGCCCCATGGCAACCTCACAATAAATTCCTCCCTGGGGTTTTGCTTAACTCAAGTTGGTTTCTGGTATCTGAAACCAAAAATCCTTCAACTAATACAAGCAATAGCACGACCCAGAGATGCTTCCTTAGCAGGTATAAGGTCTTGTCACTTTACCAACTCAAAACTCCACTGGCTGTGGCCTGTGGGAGCTGGGTCAGAGGCCCTGGCTCAGCTGGAAAAGTTTTTTCTTATCGAAGTAGCCCAGAAGAAAATGTGCTGAGTCAGAAGGCAGTCGGGGCCCAATATACACACTTCCACTGCTTTGACTGCAAGGTGGAATGAGTCAGGCCAGAGGTCTGAAAATCCAGCGTGGCAAGCACAGGCAGGGGACAGGACTCCGCTCTCGCGATATTCCCTCCACAGGCAGCCTGGGGTTAGGTGCACCGCTGCTGTTCCAAGGTCTGTCAACTGACTGATGGGCGCTATTGCTCAGTAGTGGGTGGAGGACACTAGATGATCCCTGCTGCCCTCTCATTCCTGATGTGCTTGGACTCCATTTTCTTAACTAAGAGAACGGCCCACACTGTGATATGCTTTGAAACAGGAAAAAGGAAGCTTCAGGAAAGGGGACAAAAAAGCCTTGGAACGAATACTCCAATTTTCAAGCATCACATCAACAACTGGAAAAGACATCCCAGTCCTCTGAGATCCAGGACACGACAGGCCTGTTAATGACGATGGCCAATAAAATCTCATTGTCTAATCTCCTCCATGGATTCCTCCTCACTGAAGACCTGGTAGCACACTCAGGCCACCAGGAGCCAACACGATGTGACCCAGTACGCAAGCCACTCACACTTCTAGGAACTGAGACCCAGATGGCTCAGTTACTCCCTCTGGCACGCCCAAGTCCGCACTCCCTAGCTCTACCAAGTGCACGGAGAATCCCCAGGTCTGTGCGGATTAATGAGCTAGCTTCTGAAGACTGTGCAGGGTCCTCCGAGTGCAAGGTGCTGAGAACTAAGAACACGAATGCATTGGTGCCCTGTAGCCTAGATATGGACTCTGTACCCGGGGCCAGTGCTCAATGTACGGAATCAGCATTCTCAGTCTGGTTTCCACTGCGTCCCTCAGGAACTGGTCTGTCTTCCTCTTCCTGGAAGAGGGAAAAGAAAAGAGTGGGTCTCTGGGTCAAAGGCATGGGCTCGGGGCTATCCTGCTTACTCAGCGCTAGGGAGGAGGGTCCCACCAGCTCCTGATGTTGGCCTGACTACAGCTGTCACAGAGAGGCACCTGTGTTCCAGTCCCCTCAAAGCAGCGGGGCTGCTCAATGCTCCTCTCTTTCGGCTCTGCCTGGATTGGCCTCCCGAGACTGTTAGTGGGGCCTGAGCCCCCTGATCCTTAACTGCCACCCTGAGCAAAAATGCCACAGGACTTACTCAGCCTGGCCCAGCTGTACCAGCTTCTGCTCCTCTTCCAGCACATGAGTGAGCCGAGCATTGCACTGGGTCACAAAATGCAGTACCAGCTCACTGCCGTCATTCCCAAACATGCTGGCTGCTGCAGTGGAGAGACCCAGAGACTACAAAAGGAGACAGAGAAAACAGAAAAGTGGCAGACAAATGTAGTGGACATGTGTTGTCTGTTCCTCACCAGCACCTCTTTTTCCAGTAACAGCAGCTTGATTTTTAATGGGATAACCCTATTCTTCACTGCTAGTCCGTGTGATTTGGGTAAAGCTGACCAGCAATCCCCCATCCTCCATCTACCCTTTGGTGTATTTCTTTTTTTTTTGAGAGAGAGAGGGCGTGAGTGAGGGGCAGAAAGAAAGAGAATCTCATGAGGGGCGGAGAGAGAAGGTGGGGGGGAGAGAGAGAGAGAATATCCCACGCAGGCTCTACACTGTCAGCACTCACCTGAAGCAGGGCTCATGAGCCAGCTCATGACCTGAGCCGAAGTCAGATGCTTAACCAACTGAGCCGCCCAGGTGCCCCCTTTGGTGTGCTGTAAAGCCTGAGATCCAGACTTGGATAACTGGAGCTCACAGTGACTAGCTCAGGCACATGGACATGACCAAATCCAGGCCCTAAGAGGCCACCTCTGGACTTCTGCTAGTGCTCACGGAAAAGAAGTGCTCTCTTTCCACTGGGGCTGCTGAACCATTTTTAGTCCTGCGTGGGAAGCCCCTGCTGGGAATGAAGCTCACAGAGAGGAAAGCAAAGCAGACAGGATGGAGAGATTCCCAGCAGCACAATGGAGCTACTTCCAGACTTTTGTTATTAAATGAGTCTGAACACACCCTTGCCTGCTCCAGCCAATCAGAATTGAGCTCTGACACTTGTAACCCAGAGTCCTAATATAAAAAAGGGGGCTGGGAAGAGCACTCAGCTCTTCCTCACCAATTCACTTAACCTAAACCTCTTGGAAATTAGGCCTCTCTGTTGTAAAAACAAAACAAAAAAACAAAAAACAAAACAAAAAGCAAAAAAAACCCAAAAACCAAAAGACATTTTTCTTTTTTTTAATAAATGTTTATTAATTTTTAAAATATATTCTTTTTTTAATGTTTGTTTATTTTTTGACATAGAGAGACAGAGTATGAGTAGGGGTGAGGGGCTGAGAGAGGGAGACACAGAATCCAAAGCAGGGACTGTAAGAATCCAAAGCAGGGGCTCAAACTCACGAACCATGAGATCATGACCTGAGCTGAAGTCAGACGGTTAACCGACTGAGCCACCCAGGCACCCCAAATGTTTATTCATTTTTGAGAGAGACAGAGAGAAGGGGAGGGGCAGAGAGAGGGGGACAGAGGATCTGAAGCAGACTCTGCACTGACAGCAGAGAGCCTGATGCAGGACTTGAACTCACAAACCATGAGATTGTGACCTGAGCTGAAGTCGGACGCTCAACTGAGCCACCCAGGGGCCCCAAAACATTTTCTTTTATGAGTTGTTAAGGAGTTAACAATGCCACGATGGTCCTTTGCTCTTCCTGATACGTGGCAATCATCGAGCATCTACTGGAGGCAGAACTATGAGAGCACCAGGGAGAGAGGGAAGGGAAGGAACAAAAAAAGTACTAACTATAAATCCCTCCTATTGGGAGTGGAGAAAGTGCCTCTGTTTTGGTGGAAGTTAGAGAGGGCAATTTGGCAGTATTCACAACAGACTTGCACCCACATCAATACTAATGGCAACTGATGTTTACTGTGTCAGGCACCCTGCTAAGCACATGACACACACGATCTCACTGTGGCCTCGGCCACATAGCAACTCCAGCTGGTGGGTGTTATCCTCACTCATTTTACAGATGAGGAAACTGAGACTCAGAGCTCGTCACCACCAGGCTATACTGACTCTACTATGTATGTAACAACACCCTCAAAAATATACACACTCAGGGCTCCTGGCTGGCTGAAACACAGCATGTGACTTTTGATCGTGAGTTCAAGCCCCACATTGAGTGTAGAGATGACTTAAATAAATATTTGGAAAAAAAACATATTTTCTCTCTCTGGACCAGGTGGGGAGTTATTGTCTCAGCCTCCGCTTTGTGATGCAGGGGCCGTAGTCCACAAGCCACACTTCCAGCTCCATGTTAGGCTCTGCCCATCCCATCGCTGGAGGGAGACCGTGAGGCTAGAGGAGGAGGAAGGGTCCCTCTCCTTCCTGTGGACGTCCTGTCTGCTGGCGGCTCCGTGAGCATCTCCCCAGAAGCCGCCTTCACCCAGGGGCAGCACTTCCCTCTGGTGGCCTGGCCCTGGCCGAGCTGGTCTGTACCCTTCCCAGAACCCAAAGAACTGGTTCCACTGAGCCACCATCACCCAGGGGACCCTCTCTCTAAACTTAGAGACAGCATCACTGGCCAAGTAGCTCCTCCTCCTCACCTCCACAGGGACTCTCCTTCAAGCCTCCCATTTTAACAAGTCCAATTTTCCCCTTTGTCTCCTTAGCCCTGGAGATGGGAGCTAAACCCTGTGGCAACCTCCGTAATACCCTAAGGGCTTCATTTTATCCTGCCAGTTACCTGGTTACCAACTTTACACCCCACTCCCCCTTCACTGTGTTAAGTTCTATTTGAATAACCGGTGTAGTTTCTGTTTGGTCTGATACACCACAAAACAGCAACTCCATTTCTCAAAATGCACTTAAATGTTGTACAAATAGGTTTAGAATACTAAAAAACTGGAAACAACCCAAATCTTTATCAATTGAAGTCAAGTAAATACAATGGGTATTATGCAGCCACTATGAATGAAGATATACACAGGACACAGTGAAAAAGACCAGTTACTGTAGACTAATGCAGTATAAGATTTTTCCAAACAGGGGCGCCTGGGTGGCTCAGTCAGTTAAGCATCTGACTTCGGCTCAGGTCATGATCTCATGGTTTGTGGGTTCGAGCCCCGTATCGGCTCCGTGCTGACAGCTTGGAGCCTGGAGCCTGCTTTGAATTCTGTGTCTCCCTCTCTGTCCCTTCCCTGCTTGTGTTCTATCTCTCACTCTCAAAAATTAATAGACATAAAAAAAAAAGTTCTAGGACTGTGAATATAGGTAGCTTTGATATATAGTGATTCCCTCCCTTTAAAAAAAAAAAAAAGATTTTTCCAAAAAATCCTGTTACATTTCTGTTCCACCACTTCCTGTAATAATTCTTTCTAACATTCTCTGCCACCCTCAAACCTTTGTCTCCTCTTACCCTTAACTTCAGGTTCATGAGACAACCACACCTACTTCACAGGGAACAGAAGCTGTCCCTTGGGAACTCCCTTAATATTCTAAAAACTAAACCCGTAGCTGTCTTCTCCAACCTCACCCCTATTACATCAAAGGCCAGTGCTCGCACTCATTTCCCAGATCTCCTAATTCTTGCCTTGAAGGGGCTCTGGACTTCGGATCTTGCCACTTTCTCTCATACCTGTACTTCACCCTTGTTTCTGTGCTCTCGCCAGCTTTCAAATGTGCTCACCCTTCCATCCAATTTCCCCGCAAGCTTGGGGTCGGAGACGTGAATCTGGAAATCCTTTGCTTTCTGTTCTCACTGTGCTCTCACAGGGCGGTATCTGGCTATGCTTGACAATTCTGTGCACCATGGCCTCCAGGTGAGCCAACGGCTTAATCTAAAGCAGCCATCTGTGCCAACGCAGGAGCAAACACCGTCAGTCTTACTGACAAAGCAAGGCGTGTTGGTCTCCTAGATGGTGCCCTCTTGCATTTTCAAACACCAGATTTCATCAATTTTAAGATGCACCTATTTTTTCATTTCATTTTATTTTTATGATTTTTATTTTGAAGTAATTTCTATACCCAATGTGGGCCTAGAACTCACAATCCCAAGATCAAGAGTCACACATTCTACCAACTGAGCCAGCCAGATGCCCCCCTTCTTTTTCACTTAAACATTCAGTGTGAATCATGCAATTGACAACGTGCCCCAGTTTAATAGGTAGCATTTTTTCTTTTTTAGTGATGCATAAAATAATGGCACTTCTTACAACCACTGCTGTCGTAGAGTCAATGAAACGTGGTAACTGTGATCATAGGCAACACCTATGCCTAAGGGGCTGCCTTTATAACCTAGCTCGCAAGAACCAACTCCACGGTATAATCTTTCTGTATTAAAAAAATAAAGCTATTTTTACCCTATTGGGAAAACACACCCTGCCCCAATCCTGTAGCAGTGAGGGGCTCTAAGCTGGGTCATAAGAAAGCATGAGGCCCTCTGCTTTGACCGGTGTGACTCCCTCCCGGTCCCCATCCCCCCTCCTCCTATACACACCTGGGCTCCTTCCGCGATGGCCTCTGCTGTCCACCCGTGGGCAGGCACGAACTCCAGGGCTGCGGTCAGGATGCGGTGCTGCAGCTGCTCCTCGCTCTCATGGTCCTCCTCCTCCTCACCGCCCTGATCTGTGTACCTGAGACCCAAAACCAACAGACACATGGAGACGGAACCCAGCACACCTCATCTCACTGCTGGCTGCCTAACATGCAAAATGCGCCTGACCGGAAACCGGAGGCTCTGGGCCTCCTCTAAGCGCACGCTGGGAAGACACTTACTTTTCACCAGTACTGATGTTTCAATGCCAACAGAACAAAAATTCTATCACCTTTCTCCTCTCATACAGTCACTGAGACAAGGGATCCCGTGAGTGAGGAGGTCATGTCATAGGGAGGCAAATGCTCCCATAGCCCCCTGGATTTCTCTGTTTACAGCCCTTAGCACACCGTTTCTTCATCTGTATTTGTACCAAACGATAACTCCATGAGGACAGGGACAACAGTTGTAGTATTCACAGGGCCTGGCACAAAGGAGATCCTCAGAACATATTTGCTGAATGGAAATGAGAAGCACTTTAATCAGGAGACCATAAAAATGATGGGAACACCCTAATTTCAGAGCTAGCAGAACTTCTCAGTGGCAGAATTAAGAAGAAAAAATATCTAATGGAAACGTAAACTATTTTCACCTCCCTAGAGGCCAATTTGGTCCCACACATGTAACAAAATTTTAGATGTGCACCTGCTTTGATTCAATGCTCCCCCTGCTGAGAGAATCACACACTTGATCACATTTTTTATAGCAGTGAAGGAAATCTAAATATTCATCAATAAAAGGTAGGTTAAATAAATTTAAATTGTTTTTAATGTTTATCCTTGAGAGAGTGAGAGCATGAATGGGGAAGGGGCAGAGAGAGAGGGAGACACAGAATCCGAAGCAGGCTCCAGGCTCTGAGCTGTCAGCACAGAGCCTGATATGGGGCTCAGACCTACCAACGGTGAGATCATGACCTGAGATGAAGTCGGACGCTTAACCGACAGAGCCATCCAGATGCCCCAAAACAGGTTAAATAAATTTTAATACTGCCATTTGCTGGCATAGTATGCAACCATGAAAATCATACAGACTGAGAAAACATTAAAAATGTACTATTGAGTGAAAAAACAGGTTCTGGAATGGTGTACAGTGTAATTAATCACTTACAGTATATAGATTTACATATGGAGTATACTTAAAAAACATCAAAAAAGGACATTTGCAAAAACATTAGAGTTTTTTCAGGGTTTGTGATTTCTGGTAATTTTTGCTTTACTTTTATGAGCTTCTTTACTTTGATTAGATATTTTAGAGTGTACAGGCACAATTAAAATATAATAAAAAAGCAAGTTTCCTTTCAAAGATAGCCTAGAAAATGATGGAAGGTGAAAAGGAGGATAAAGAGGAGAGAGGAAGGACAGACACACCCAAGCATGCAAAATGGCCAGAAATGGATGGACTGTGGTCCTGATACATACCTGGGGGGTGGACGAGGGGACTCTGGCTTGGGTTCTTCTGCTCTGTGTGTCTCAGGATGTTGCTGAGAAAAAGATGGGGGAGGTTGTTGCTTCTGCTCATCTGAAGACTTCAGCTGCACAGCTGAAGCATGGAAGGCACGTGACACCACGGCTGACTGGCAACGGGACACTGAAACAAGAACGGGGCTGGTCAGGCAGGAACACTTACCAGAGAAGACTCTTTGATGCCCCGAATGGTGTGAGGGATGGGGAGAGGAAAAGCAGGGCTGAGTCTACTCCAGAACCACTTATCCGAGTATTGAGTCCCAAACAAAAATCTTCGGTAAACTGGCAACCTTGACACATGATGTGGTGGCAAAAGCATGAGCCAGGGAACCGAAGACCTGGCCTCTGGCTTTTTGCTATCATTTGTTCACTGTATGGTAATGGGCTTCGCCCCAATGAGCATGATTTTTAAATATGCAAATTAAGAGTAAGCATCTGCTCACTGGGAGTGTTGTGAAGCCCAATCAAAAAGTGAAAATGACCTGAAATTGCTACATGGTTATATTATACCAAGAGCACTGGACTAGAAATGAGGCCTGAGTACTGATTCCTATAGTATTTATATGGAGTCTTCACACAGGTCACTAATCTCTATTTACTTACTCATTTAATTCATTTGAGCGAGAGAGACAGAGACAGAGTGAGTGGGGGAGAGTGGCAGGAGAGAGAATCTCAAGCAGGCTCCATGCTCAGGGTGGAGCCCAACATGTGGCTCAATCCCATGACTGTAAGACCGTGACCTGAGCTGAAACCAAGAGTTGGATGGGATGGTCAATGGTCAACTGACTGAGCCACCCAGGCACCCCACAGGTGTGGGGTTTTTCTCATGCTGATGTTTTCTCATTGGCAACACCTGCAACACCTCATTTACTATGGGAAGGGCTTTGGAAAGTCCAGGCTCATACTCCTTTTTTTCTTTCCCAACATTTTATTATAGAAAATTTCATACAAGTTGAAAGAACTATGGCATGAACACCTGTGTACCCACCACCTAGGTTCTACATATCTATTACACTCTCCCGTCATCAATCCATCTTACGTTTGATGCATGTTGTAGACCTCAGTATTCTTCAGCTCCACACATTCTGCGTGCATATCATTAACCAGAGTTCAACATTTATTTACTGGTCTTTTACTGAGGTGGTAGTTATATACAATGAAATACACAAATCTTAAATGTGCCAAATCTGAGTCCTGACAAAAGTGTACACTTGCATAACCTGAACCCCTAACGTGAAGAATATTATCATCACCCTAGAAAGCTTATGCTCCTCCCCGGTCATCCCCCCCCCCACACACTGTTCTGAAATTTCCACCCTGTCCTGTCCTAGAATTTCATCTAAAGGGAATCATACAGTATATCTTTTTTGTGCAAAACTTCTTTTGCATAATATATTGTTAACTGATTAGTATTTTTGTGGAAATCAATTGCTACTTTTTATTGCTGAGTGGTATTGCATTAAGAAACACTAGTCTGTTGATGAACACCTGGGTTGTTTCAGCCTAGACTATCATGAATAAAGTTGCTGTAAATGTACTTGTACACACCTTGTGGTGGACATATGCTTTCATTTCTCCACCTAGGAGTGGATATGCTGGGGCACAGGCATTTCTTTAAACATTTGGATTGGAGTTTTGTATTAACAACAACAGAAGGACACTCGTGTTTTAAAAAGAAATCTATGGACTAACTCGGGGAACGATGATGTTAAAAGAAACACAGAACAGGGGCACCTGGGTGGCTTAGTTAGTTGAGGCTCAGGTCACCATCCCAGGGTCATGAGATGGAGCCCTAACATCGGGCTCTGCACTAAGCTTAGAGCCTGCTTAAGATTCTCTCCCTTTCTCTCTCTTTCTCAAAAAACAAAACAAAACACAACACAGAACGGTAGGTGTAAAAATATCGGTATTTTAGTATTTGTACACACACAAAAAATGGAACAAATACTCATAAAACTTCGAATAGGATGGGAGAGGTCCCAAAGCACGACTGTGGAAACCACCGCGGGGCACAAGATTTGATGAAATCCAGGAGAATATTATTTTATTAGTTGTATGTTTATGTTAATACATCAATGTATACATTCTATTTATGGAGGTGACACTGGTTGTCCATTTACAGTAGCAATATAAAGCTACCTCTTTTAAGTAAACGTCTAGTATTAAGAACTTGGGTGTATAAACAAAAATACTGACTATATTGTGGAAAAGGTGGGACAATATCATAGAATCAATGAAGTGAGGAGATGACCGACTTAGGAAACAACGGACTAGGGGCTCTCTGCGGCCGTTTCCAACTCTGACCCTGAAGTGGCCCTTCCCGGGGACTTGGCGGTGGACTTGCCGACAGACTGGGTCTGGGTCTGCCAGGCTGCAACTGCCGAACTGTGAGACCCTGGGCACCCACAGCCCTCTCTCTGGGGCTCCGTTAACTTCGTGAAATGGGAGAGAGGCCCCGCCCCGCCACTCCTGCCCTTCACAGCTCAAGAATGGGGGCAGAAACCAGCCAGGCGGCCCCTTCGAGCCCTGGACGCCGGCGGCTCCGCGCCGATGCCCTTCACCTCACCTTGCTCGTGGGCCGCCACGGCGGCCTCTTCCGCCCCGCACCCAGCCCAGGTCGGCTTCGTGCCCCCTCCCTGCTCCTCCCCACTCCCGGGCTCGGCCGCCCCCTCACCGGGCAGGCACCGCAGCTGCAGGAGCCTCCAGCCCGCCCGGCCGAGCGCGCCTGACACCGCCGCCGCTGCCGCCGCCATCTTGGAAGCGGGCACGCCTCCGCCAGTGACGCTGCGGACACCCGGGAGCTCGCCAAGGCCACTTCCGCCCTGCCCGCGCTCCCGCAGAGTCCTCATATCGCGAGAGGCGCGAGGTGCGAAGCCGGCTGCCGCGAAGAAGCCGGGAGCGAGCCCCGAGAGGCAGGTGAGCGTTGTTGAGTTGCGGCCCAGGAACCCGGTCTCCCCAGCTGTGCCCTTCCGGCCCATCCTCGCCCCTGGAGCCTCTTGTTTCCTATTCCCAGCCCCGTCCCTCGGTGGCCACGGGGCCATGACCACCTCCCAGGGGAGCCCGTATTGGGGGGGGGGGGGGGGCGGCCGGCCGGCCCTGCCTGTCTCGGGCTCCTGCGCTGTGGTGGCTTCTGACCTTCCCGGGCTGCCTCCTCTCATGCGCTGCCGGCCCGAGGTCTGAGGCTCCGAAGTCAGCGCGCTGAGAAGGAGGAGCCTTGACCTTGCGTCCCCAAGACCTGGGTCCTTCAAGACCCGCTTCTGCTAATAGCCAGCCGTTGTGACCTTGGACCTCAGGCCCTCGTCTCAAACACTGGGGGAGCTGAAGCCTCGGTCTTTGGGGGAGGTGGGGTACTTAACCCCCAGGTTGTAATTTTGAGCCAGTGACTTGCCAGAATCTCCAAAGTGTGGAGTTGGTGTTATTAAATAACAAAAAAGTAACCGAGTAACTTTTAAAGATCTAATTGGCTTTATCGAACAATTCATGAATTGGGCAGCATCCCATCCCAAGTAAAGGAAAGGTTTTTTTTAAAGGCAGAGGAGGTGAGACAGGGAAGTTATAATGGGGGGAGGGGATTATTTCAGGCAAGGGGACAGAAGGGGTCTGTTAGGCAGATTACCTTACTAATGCTGACTGTAAAATTCCAAACTGACCCCTGAATTGAGATTACATTCCTGGAGAAGGTAGAAACCACAATTAAGTTAGCTGTTAGTTTCAGTTTGTTGATGATGTGTGCTTAGCACAAGTGGCTCCATTTGGGGCCTGTGGTCATCTTTTCAGAAGTATAATTTAATATTTCCCAAACTTGCCAGATCAAAAGAACCATCCAGGATGCTTGCTAATAAATTGGGTACCCAGGTCTTTCTCCTGGAGTGTTGATTCAGTACATCTGGGTGCAGTCTAGGAATCTTATTTTAACAAAGCCCCCAGGTGACTTGTAGACTCTGCAAGTTTAGGAAAGGTTGGTGGTGTCCATTCTGACATTAAGTGCCTATCTCTGAATGACTCAGGGAGGTCATGGACCAGGCACTAAACTGAAGTGTAAATGCAGAGTGCCTCCCTGTGATATCTGTTACCAGGGAAGGCTTCATATTAACAGGGAAAAGTACATGGTTTCCATGTTAGGAATAACTGATGACAGGAACAAAGCATGTCATTCTGTAAATTTTGTGTTTGCAGTTAGACCCTTGTCTTTGTATCTCTTTTGCACAATGCTTATCAGCTAGTCTTTTCAAAACATCTTGCCCTCGGGGCGCCTGGGTGGCTCAGTCGGTTAAGCTTCCGACTTCAGCTCAGGTCACGATCTCGCGGTCCGTGAGTTCGAGCCCCGCGTCGGGCTCTGGGCTGCCGGCCTGGAGCCTGGAGGCTGCTTCCGATTCTGTGTCTCCCTCTCTCTCTGCCCCTCCCCCATTCATGCTTTGTCTCTCTTTGTCTCAAAAATAAATAAACGTTAAAAAAAATTATTAAACAAAACAAAAACATCTTGCCCTCCCCTGCCTGGATGTGGAGAAAGCCCTTCTGAGCCAGAACTACTCCCCAGATGTTAAAATTTCAGATCCACAGCTCTGGATTTCATTAAAACACTACTGATCTGTGAGGTTTTGTTTTCTGAGTTCTGTCCACCGATCCTCAAATGAGCCTTTCCTGTGGAAATTCTAGCTCTGGGGTATCCTTCCTGAAATTCTTAATTCTTGACACATACCTAATTGTCCGGAGACAGTCTTCCATTTTCCTTTGAGTTTCTTGTTTTCTTGCCGATTATCACCTCTTTTTCTGTGTGTGTGTGTGTGTGTGTGTGTGTGTGTGTGTGTGTGTGTGTGCGCGTGCACACACACACGCTCATTACATTTAAATGTTTCCTTTTTGAGAATTTTCAGTATTCTTAGAAGTTTTTAGCCACCTGACTTAAAAGGATTGATCCTTGGTAAGAACTGGTATGCAAACTTCAATCTTATTTTCTTTTCTTATTTTTTTTTAATGTTTTCATTGGGGGGGGGGCAGGGGCGGAGAGAGAGGGGTGGGGGGACAGAAAATCTGAAGCAGGCTCTGTGCTGATAGCCCAAGCCCGATGAGGGGCTTGAACTCATGAACTGTGAGATCATGAGCTGACCCAAAGTCGGTTGCTCAACTGACTGAGCCACCCAGGTGCCCCAATCTTCTTTTTTTTTCTTTTGGCTCCCTTCATCCTTCAGAGGAGCCAAATGCCTCAAGATTTGATGTTTATTGGGTACCTGAGAAATAAACAAGTGCATCTCCAGAAGTTGTTTTCAGACATCTGCTTTCCCTGCCTGCCAGTAGCATTTTAGAAGAGCCACGGGCACTTGTGTATAGCAGGCAGCACTGGAGCAGTGCTTAACAAGGCCAGTTACGTGACAGTGCCTTCTTCAACTCCACCTCTTTTTAGATATGAAACTGAGTCACACTTGTAAGTATGTTGACTTAGGTGCCGGACATTTTTTCCTTAGAGTTGCTTTAAAAAGGCAGATTGACAGCCACGCAGAACGCTGACGATGACAGGTATCGCACTTTGGCTTTTAGATACTTTAAAGAACGTTGTGTCCCATTTTATTCGGAAAATGCTGGCCGAGAGTGGTGGCTATGTCTGCGTTTTGAGGGTTAATGTTTAGTAAATGTATTTTATGAGCTCCCTCTTGCCAGAGAAGATTAGTTTGGGGGGATATGGAACGCAAAGCATTTTACATCCTTCTAATGTGCTGACACAGTCCCACTGGAGTAGTGCCTAAGATGTCATAACGTGCAGCTCTTCTGTGTAATTCTAACAGTGAGAAAGAAGCCTCACATCTCTCCCTGGGGAGTCCTCAGTGGGCATAGCTGAGGAGAAAGAACAGGCTTTATAGGGACTCTTTGAAGCAAAGGCAAATAAACTGGCCACCAAAAACTAAGAGTTCTCTTAGAATATTATTTTGTTGAGCTCTGTGCAGCAGACCCTGCGGAGGATCTGCATGAAATATGTTTTGCATATTCTTATCTTCTCATTTACTTCATACAGCAGCCTTGCAAAATAGGAGATTATTATTCTTTATTGATGGGAAAAGAGGCTAATAACTAACCCATGGTCATGTACTAAGTAGACAGTCCAGTGGTCGATAGAAGCCCAGTTCATCTGTATTCAAAACCTGTGCTCTGTAGAAACTGCCTCCATTTAAGGTTGCTGAAAAGGTCTAGACACCTGGCTTTTTGTTTTGCTCTAACAAACTTTTGCACCTTCTTTCTTTCTTGATGCTTTTTCTGTGAGTACAGTGTAAGGTTTGTAGTTGTTGCTGGTGGGCAGGGAGCTGGTCACTTTCTATTGTCCCAGCAGAGAACCTGGTGCCAACATCATTCTAGAAACAAGTTCTTTATTTCTTATAATCTGATGCCCAGCAATCCATGGTCCTATTTTCCCTGGCTGGTTCTTCTGTGCTGACAGCATGGAGCCTGCTTGGGATCCCCCACCCCCACCCCTTCCCTCCCTCCTCCCTCCCTCCCCTGTTTACATGCACTCACTCTCTCTCTCTCTCTCTCTCACAATAAATAAATGAACTTAAAAAAAATATGTTTGCGGGAGTTCTTCCTCAACATCCTGTGCCTGTTAAAAGCTTAAAAGTTTCATTTCTTTATTGTGTACTTTTTAAGGATTTGAAAACGATTCAGTGACTAAGGAATGTTGCTTGTCTGATAATACTTGGCATCCTTTTTACTGGGGCTTGCAGTCAGGTTGGGATAATAAGAAGTGGACATTTTACATGGAAGCAATTGGATAAAAGGTATGATGAAAGCAAAAAGGCAAAGGTTTTTCATAGAACAAGGAGGGATTCACTTTGGAGAAGTGGGAGATCCAGGTGGAGCCAGATTATTTATGGAGGACCTGATTCCAGAAGAATGACTTGATTTCACCTAGAAAATAAACTTCTTTAGGAAGTGAGTGACAAAACCAAAGTACTATAGTATTTAAGGATGACTGGCTAATTTGGCTAAGATTTGTAGGTGGAGGAGCAGGTCGTTTGAAGTGAATATTTTTAAGTTTTTATTGTTTTATTTTTGAGAGAGAGAGAGTGCGAGCAGGGGAGGTACAGAAAGAGAGGGAGACCCAGAATCCGAAGCGGGCTCCGGGCTCCAAGCTGTCAGCACAGAGCCTGACGCGGGGCTCAAACCCATGAACCACGAGATCATGACCTGAGCTGAAGTCTGGCTCTCAACGGACTGAGCCACCCAGGCACCCCTGAAGTGAATATTTTTGAGGATGGAAGAATGTAGTGGACGTGGCTTAAATTCAGTCCGAGTGCCTGTGGTGGCATAATTGTGACTGAGTTAGCCACTTCTGCAGAAGACAGGAGTGTTCAGCACAACACTGATCCATGCTTGACCTGGCTACCACGGCTTCTGCCTTTATGCCATTTATTAGAGCTATTTTAGGTTGGGAACTTGGTGGCATTAATGTTTAAGAAAGAAAGGAGGAGCCAAGTAGAATGCTATCGCCTGACCTGATTTCATTGTGAGCACATTCTAGACTCATCTCGGTATCCAGTGGAAGAGAAAGTTGCCTCAAGGTGGTGGGGGGAGGGGATTTCCATAGGTTAAAAGCATGGGCTTTACAGTCATATGGATTTGGTTTCAAATTCCAGGTCTTTATCTCACAACATTTATTAGTTGTGTGACCTGGCAAGTCCATGGCTTCAGTTTTATAGCTGTAAAATGGGAATATTTAGTTTAAGGTTGTGCTGAGGTTCAGTTGAGATAATGTATTTTAAGTGTTTTGAACAGTCTGGGTAACTAACATTAAACGTTAAAGACAGTAGGTAGTATTGATCATTGCAGATTCAATGGAATTGAATTTTCATATTTTGATGAA